TCCCTAAACATAACCCCTAAACTTTATTCTCTAATTAAACACTTCGAAACATCAATTTAAACTTGAAAAATGTTTACTATACACAGAAATAAACACATAGAGGTCAAATTAATTTTTTCAAAAAAACATTTCAGCTTTTCAAAATCTAACCCTAAGATTACATACAATACTACAACATATGTTTGCCAAACCCTTAAACTAAAGAATATCATGATTCACTACTTCCACTCATCTATGCTGAAAACAAATCAACTTTATCATTTCTTAATTTATATCACTTATAAATGTTTATAATTACATGTTTTTAATTTTTCACTCATCAAAATATTTTGTACATAATTTATAAATTATTTTTAAGATTCAATCGTCCAGACAACTAACATTTCAGTCGACCAGACGACTGAAAAGTAACTCAGCCCGACCCAGACAACTTACTGGGGTTATATTCGTAAAAATGTCTTCTGTTTTTTTGTTTGGTCACAGAGCACTATACTGTAATTTCATAGCCCTTTTAGGTTAGATTTGCATTTGATTCAAGTTGGGGTCTAGTATTGGGGTTAAAACCAAGTTATGGGTTAGTTTTGGCAAAAACCCCAATATTATAAAACATGTTAATTTTTAATTGTGTATAACATTAATATATTTTTCATGTTTAGAATCTTATAAAACACGCAAATAGAATATATAAACTTATTATCTAATTTTCATCAAAATTATGATTATAAGTTACATTTATTAAATTTTAGATTAAATAAATAGATAAAAATATTATTAAAAAATAAAAAAGTGAAAAAATAGCTTATACGGTTAGGTGGTCATCTAGGTGGCTAAACGGTTATCTAAGTAATCAAGGCAGACTAAAATCGAACGACCAATTTTTCACGGTGATTTGGCGTAAATCAGGACGGAGGGTCACCTAACGCCTACGAGACCGCCTAGGCAACTGCCCTTTTTGATTAATCCGTCAACTGGTTGAATAAGACCAACCATCACATCGACCAAACAAGTCAACTGACTTCTAAAATAAGAAACTGTTTTATGCTTATACTAATATGATGCTCAAGATTCCTTGTGGGAGACGTATTCTCCCTCAGCTAACTCTTTTTGTTTTTTGAATGAATATAAAATTAATTTAGTCAAAAGCTTTTTACATCAGGTGCTACTGTTTCCGAAAGAGATTAGCTGAAATTAAAAATGAATGAATCAACCAAATTTTGATACCAGTAAAAAAAAATCTCAAGATTAATCGTGTCCCCAGCCAAGTACTTAGGCTTCCCTGAACGTGTTCCTGCAAGAAGCTTAATCGGTTTCTGATGCTTTTGTCAATCAACTTTATGAGTCTGACATTGCCATGAGGTGGCTCTCCATGTCTTCTTAAGTTCCTCTCCCTCCTAATACTATAGATTGGGGTTTGAAATGCATACCTCACAAGATACCTACGAATTCGGCATAGTGTTGAACAGTTGATGAAATGAGGTCACAAGTGCAGTCCATTCCGTGGTGTATTTATCTTGTAGCAGCCCACGATATTTTCCGAGTAAGGGCAGGTGAAGAATAAGTGTTGCCTACTTTCTTGTGCCACTTTACAAAAGAACACAAGTAGCATCAGCATTGCTATTCCAGTAAAGAATCCTATCTCCTGTGGCTAGTTTGTTTTAAAGAGCCACCCAGACTAGAAAGGAGTATTTAGGTGTTCCATGACTAAAACTCTTCACGTCTTGATATTTCTAAAATATAAATCTTGACTGACTAGTTCTTTAAGGATCTAGCTGATATCCTCCAAAAGTACAAACACATTCATTATAAACATATATTAGATTTTGATCCGTGCTTAGAAATCACGGATTTGTTTTCGATTTATTTTAATAGTTATGAAATTTGAGTTTTAAATCATATAGTTATGTTTTAAGTTTATAAGTTTGTTAATTATCTTATTTTATCAAATCTTTATGATTTATAGGTTGCACGTGCAAGAAGTTCTCCTTGTAAATTATAGTAATAGGTTTTAAATCCTTATTAGTAAACAATTTCAGAAAAAAAGGATGAAAACATAGTGTAAAACAAAAATAAATTATTCTAGAAAACCAAAAAAAAAACCAAAATAATATCAGAGATTCGTCTATGTATCATTGATCATCTTCTAAAAAACTCCAAGAAAAGCATGCCTCTTTGTATGACGAATACAGAACACTGTTGAACGTTTTGATTTCCTCATAGCATTTCAGACCTCTTACAATATTCAGCAAGACAAGCAAATAAAATGCATAATCAATCTTTCGTGGAGCATAGTTGATTCTCCCAATATTGAATCCTATCTTTTTATCAGTAAACTTTCGTTCTTTTTTATTCCAAATAAACCTTGTAGAAGTTTCAATTAGGGTTAGTTTTCCACCAGCGGCATTGGCCTTATTTAATTCAAATCAGCTGTAGAACAATATTGTATTTTCAATCAGAACGTGGGTGGTATCGTTCAAGAAAGTTAGCTGCGTATTGTTCGCCATTTTTTTCCGTATATCTAGGTTTGATGAATATTGTGGTTAATTGATGCTATATTTATATAGGTAGGTGGTACAACAGATTTAGGTTACGCAAATGTAGGTTAGAATATTTTAAAGATTTGATAAAATATGTTACTTTGTGGAAAAGGGAATATTCTGCGAATATCTATACAATTATAATAATTTTTTTTTAATTTCTAAGAGTTAATATTAATCCAATTAAAGTTGGTTAGCGAAAATTCTTTAAGTTTAAGGAAAATAATAACTAATTTGTGATATTAAATAAATTTTATATACGAAGCAATATAAAAAAATTCGTATTTTATTAATAAATATCGTGTATACAATATATAGTTAACCAAAAGATTTTCTCAATAAATTTAAATTGATTTTTTGATATCAGTATATACGTAGTTTATTCTCCCAATATTAAATCATCTCTTTGTATTAAACATCTACTCTCGCCAGACGTATCACTATAAGTGTTATTAAAAATTTCTATCATGCCACAAAAAATGTATAGATACTTTTAAAGAAAACAATCATTATCTTACATATATAACTTAAATTTGGGTTATTAATACGATTTCTATAAAATAATAGATTAAGTGCTAAACACAAAAAGATTTTCCTCATAAAATCAATATATATTTTTAAAAATTATATATTATATTTCTTTCAACAACCAATGTAAGATGTGAAGAATCGAATCGAATATTCTTAAGATAACAATTTTTACCTTATACCAACATCACTTATATAATTCTATAACAACCCAAAAATGTCAAATCATTATCTATCTAAAAGATGATTTATGAACCAACTTCAAAATCATTATATAACACCACAAGTAATACCTAATCTAAGAAATAAAATAATAACCAAGCACAACAGAGCTTAAAAATAATAAAATTATAATTTTTTCATCAAATTTATAAATATTTTTAGAAAAATATATATTTTATTTATTTCAACAAACAATTTAAGATGTTTGTAAAACATTTAGACTTGCTTCAACACAAGATATATCAAAAGAAAAGAAAAATATGAAAAATTAAGTATATCTCAATCATGTTACAAAAGTCGTACTGTCATTTTTAAAAGTGAATCATTACAAACATATATTGCCTAAATAACTTCTAAAAGACGGTTTCTATATAAGAAAATATTAATTTTTAATTTTTTTGAAACTTGTTTATCTAACACCACAAGTTACTTACTAATATCTAACTAATAAAATAATAACTAACACCGCAATATCTAATTCTAACTATTATCACTAAATAAAGGAATGACAGATTACAAAATTCTAACTATAATCACTAAAATAATAACTAACAAAATAATATCATAATAAAAAATGAAAAACTCAAATATAAATAGCAAAATCAAATAATAAGGAAATAAGATGAGATATGAAAACAAATTACCAAATAAATATTAAACATAATATGTTTAGGTTCATAATTAAACAACCGGAAAAGAAGGTTCAACCTTAAACCAAAAAAACAGCAACATTTTAATTAAGCAAAAGATTAGATATTTAGATAGGAATGATGTTTATTCCCACATTTTTGGTTCATCCAACTTGAACCAGTCCATGGGAGGGACCTTCACATCATCCATCTTATCTTCAGAAAGCCTAACCTCGGACTCAATTTTTTCCTTGTCATTCATGAGATCAAACAACCCATTGAGATTGTCAAGAACCTCGAGTTTGGCTTGAAGGCGAACCACCTCAGTCTCTTCTTCATGCCTTGATTGAATGGCTTCATTTATCTACTTGTACATAGCTAGTAGCACCCTATAATGTGCCGTGGTTTCTTTCTTCCCCTTGTTGAAACCCTCTAATGGATATTGGCCATAATCTTCGACCATTAGAGCCTTGAGTTTGAGATCTCGATTTCCTGCCATTGAGAGATATTCTTCTCCATGTTCAAAAACAAAATATTCAGTTTCAAAAAAAAATATAAGGATTATGCAAATATAATAAACTCTAAATATTTAAAAAAATCTAGATGTAAGATAAAATAGTTTATAACAGTAAAACATCTATTTTCAGTTAGATGTAACCCTAGAAGATTATAAGAATCGAATATAAAAACATAAACATAAAATCTACCCATAGAAGAATATTGACAAACAAAAACAATATCAAATCAAACTATAGACCAACATGTATTAGTTAATAAAAGGAAGGAGAGAATAAAAAAAAAAACTACATACCGATATTTGGAGAGACAAATGGAGAGAAGAGAGGTGTTAAGGTTTTTTAAGAAAAAATGAAGATAGAGTGTTTATATAGAGAAGTATTAGGGTGTGTCGATTAGTGGACACAATCGTAAATCTTCAATGGTAAGTGAATAGTTTTTTCTGTTTTTTATATTATATTATATATTTATAATGTTCTAATATACTATTGCTCAACAAAAAATATTATTGGATATTTGGATATTTTAAAAAACATTATGAATAACAAACAAAAACATTATTGGATATTTGGATATTTTTAAAATTTGTATGAATAACCAATTTAGTATTGGATTATTTAAAGTTAACAATATTCGAATATCTTAAAGCCCAATTTAATTTGTGGGTTTTAAATGGTGCAAGAATGCTTTGAATAGATTAGTAGGTCGAATATCTGAACATGTTCTCTTACTTGATAGTGAAGATTGTCTTATAGAGCAAGGATAACTCAGTTAAACCTATAATATGAGTAGATTCTTAGAATACAAAGTGTTGAGCTTATCATAATCTGCTAATTGTTTTATTGAAATCTTACCAGACGTATTTTTAGGTTTCAACCTCGTAGATGCTTGGTTTGTATTTTCTCTAGGTTTAGCTGTTAAAAGTAGGTAAAATACTAAATTTAGCCATACACTGAACAAACGTAAAACTGTAAAAATGAGCCAAGTACTACTACCACTTGACCCATGAATGGAGTGTGATTCAGATAACGGATGAGTAAAACTTTGATAGGGTCAAATTTATCTGATCTTAGACACTTTTGGTTCATTCACAGATAACGTAGTTTGTTAGATTCTACCGTAGTGTAAGAATTGATCAAGAATTGTTGGAAAAAGCTCTTAAAATGTAGAAGAGTATGACACTCATTCTCCCTTTCATGAAGTCGAAAGCGTACCATTGCCTCATACTGATAGTCTGCCTTGAGGTCGAAGCAGCTGTTCATTTTCTAATACCAAGTCTGAATCCATCTTCACCGTATGTAAAAATAAGGGGATATTGAAGTGTCAGATAAGATGGATGTATGTCACTGATCCTTTTAAGCCATCATGTCTGCTTCTCTTCTAAAAACAATATCTTCCTTACACATGTCCAAACTGAAATCTCTTGGAATCAGTGCGGCAATCTCTAATCAGTAGGAGTATCATAGATCCTTCCATCTTTTTCTCTGTTACTAACAATTCTCATATGCAATGTTTCTTCTGGATTAGTATTAAACATTTCTCTAGAAGATCTATACATATGGATTCACTTCGTCCAGCAATTTGATGATCCTTTCAATAACATGTTTCCTCAGTCTCTCTGTTAAGCCTTCTCACGCTTTGTTTTATATTTTCTGTTACAAAACTGTCGGATAATAGCGTTAAAAAGGTTTTGTAAGCGAGTCAAATATGTTTGATAAATAGACAAACACTTAAATTTAAAATACCCTATAATAGATGTCATGTTCAGAATTTCATTTTCAGTGTCCACAATATGGAGATGTCCAAACTTAGGATCTCCTCATGTGGGTGGTTTTAAACTACCCATTAAGAGATAATTCTCACCTTGAAAAACAACCATTCTTAGTCCAGGTCCTGGCGGAGCCGGTCGATCAATTTTACCACTGATAGTTGTAAATGATAAAACCATATTTATTTTCCTGATGTTCTCCGGATAGTATTTTCTGATCTCATCGTCATCGTTTAGCAATTTCCATAGAATTTCTGGTGGTTGCTTAAGTAACGGCAACTGAACATTACCTTGTCCAAAACACAAAAAAAAATAGGTTTCTTAGTATGCCATTTCTTCTCAATGTGTTCACTGTACCGCAGTATGGCACCACAATGTTCACATTTATGGATTGGATCACCTTCACTAATATATCCTAGACCGAAAACAACAGGAGACATTATAAACTTAACCGACAACATAGTAAAACAATATGTAAAAAAATTGTAACGTATTACCCAAGTATGGCTTAGGAGGTGCTGACTTTTTCTTAGGCTTTTAAACTGAATAATAATTAAAAAATATTGAAAACTAAGTTAAAATCTGTATAAAAATTGTGTTATCATAAACTGTTTGATAAATGATTACCAGTGTGTTTGGATACAGACCATCCCTTCTTAACAGGTTTATCTTGAAACATAGTCTTAAACATACTTGTCATACTCAGAATCCGAGCTCTTTGCTCATCAGGAACCGTTGGAACATTATGATCTTGTTGACACACACATTCTATCTCTGACTCCAAATTATTATCATATTCGTATCTTCCTCTTTAGAGCTAATATCATATATCTGTGAATCTTGGTCTTCCACAAAAATATGTCAAAACAGTATTGATCATAGATGATAAATTTGATAGAAACAGAAACCGAATTTATAATACCTTTGTATAAATTCAGATTTATACAACCAAACTCCATACATGTAATAAGCAGATTCTTAGAATACAAAGTGTTGAGCTTATCATAATATGTTAATTGTTTTATTGAAATTGTACCAGAGGTATTTAATTTAGGTTTCAACTTCTTAGATGCTCGGTTTGTATTTCCTCTAGGTTTAACTGGTAAGAGTAGGTAAAATACTAAATTTAGCCATACACAAAACAGACGTAAAACTGTAAAAATGAGCAAAGCAATATTACTACTTGACTCATCAATGGAGTGTGATCCAGATAACAGATGATTAAAAACTTTAGATTGTGGTGTAGTTGGTGAAGTATAATGTATTGATCACATCAGCCAAGATTGTACTGAAAACTCTTTACAAAGGCAAAATACTAGATTTTGTCTTCCAAACTTGCGGAGTATTATTAATTTCAAAGTCCTTTAAGAAAGCAGAAATTATCTTCCTTTTCTGAATAGATGATTCAGTCGGATTTATGCCATTGCTATTGTTGTTCTTGTCAGCCATAGGTGCAAACTTTTTGTCGTCAATGGATGAAATCTAATCCTTATAATTTTAATGAATATTATAGGAGATAACGTCTAACATTGGTTATACCTATTAACATTAATTAAAGATTCTTTCTCCCAAATTTTTAGGAAACATATTGTATAAATGTACTTGATAATATTTTTTATTCAATTGAAATTATTGTTAATGTTAAGGCGTAATTTCTGAAAATTTTAGTATAAAAAATTGTACAATAGTGTAATTGTTCATTGGTATTATTTAAATTTTAATTATCTTATATTTACAGACAAAAAAGAAGGAATAAGGAACAAATGAGATACATGAAGCGTATGAGAAGATAAAGTTCTGCATTCAGAGTAAAAGATAACTCTAAATCTGAGACTGGAAGAAAATAGTTGTAAAATAAAAATCTTTGTGTTTTTTATATAGGAATCAAACAAAGGCTTTCGGTTTTCTGGTATACATGGTATCAATACTATATGTCATGTTTTGTAGGTATTGTGATACTAAGTTTGGTCAGTAAATAGAATGAAACACAAAATGAAACATTTATTATAACCAAATATAAAAATTAATCCTCAACAATCTTAAAGAAAAAAAAACACGCTTATTGACAATCAGCAATATAGAAAACGGGAAATTGAAAAAATCCTACAAAAACAGAAACAAAACAACAACAGAATCTTGTTTAACTCGATCCAGAGTTATCCTTTCTTGTCTTCTCGATTTTAATCGCTTTAGTTTACTGATTTTTAGATGTAGACTGAAGTTCGGGTGTTTCCTTATTGTCTTATTTGCGCTTGGAAGAAGGAGTAGAAACAATATCATCATTTTGAGCTTCAAGTAACATTGGATTCTAGATAACACGTGTAGGGATTAACTATTCAGTAACGTTCAACCTTTAATCATAAAATCTTTATTACAATATTTTACCTTGATTGCTTGGGCTGGAGATAATAGCTCTCTGATATTTTACTGGTCATTAGCGTACGTAGGTCTTTCCATACATTTCCAACTTTATAGCACCTCTTGAAGCATTGTTTTTCTGAATGTAAACTCCAAATATAAATGTATGTCCAACCAAACTTGTAATTGCCTTGGGGAATGGATCATCCTCATCTAGCTGTCAAGTATAAGATGTGATATAGTATTTGCCTTTACAATATACAATTTAATTGCAAGAGTTGATAAAAATTACTAACTTCATCTCAAGAACCGTTTAGTAGAGTTGTAGGAGACTCATGTATAACTCACGTCGCAAGTCAATCCAATAACAGGAATTAGGATTCATCAGTAGCATCCTTAACCAGTAAATGGATTTTGCATCTGTAGTAAAGACATAAAAATCCAATTAGAACATTATGACCAAAAGTATTTAATCTGGTTGACCGGCGGTCGATTATATTTAGAGATAGTAGTAATACCATGGTGAAACAGAGTTACTTAGATATGCATATTGCACACCACCAAAAGCTTGTAACAGTCTCCTCCCCATTCAATTTTTTAATTGTTTTAGAGGGGGATAAACCTTCTTGTTGTTACAACCTAGAAAACCAAAATAATATCATCCCCAATCTGTATCAACGTCATAGATTGTTGCAACTACTCTGCAGAGTTTTTCATACAAAAAAAATAAATTTATAATGATACATTTAGGACAAACGAATTTAGCATATATTAGTATAGATTTGCAGATTATTTTACCTCAGACGATTCAAATAACTTTAGGAGGTTCTCTTGAGGATAGTGCATTTATTTATCTC